GATCTGACAGAGAGTTGTCCAATTTTCTCTTGGAGAGCTCACTACCTCCGAATGTTCCAGTGGTTCAGACGTTCCGTTGTTGTACTGCTCTAACAGTCAGGAGGTTTTTCCTGACATTCTGTCAAAATCTGTCTTCCTGCCACTTGAACCCATTATTCCGTGTCCTGCTCTCTGCAATGACTCGAGAACAGAACTAATCGCATGGGAGGATGAACACGGGGTTTTTCTAGGTGATAAATCTGTTCGTCACCCCTGCTCACAAGGAAAACGGGAAGGTGGAAAAAAAATCACACTGGCCTAAATCCACCGGCCTAAATTTCAGCCACAAATGGCTGCAAGTCAAGAAATGAATACAGACGTTGGTAATTGTGTGCCGAATCGCGCAGTTGACGGACGGCAGCAAACGCTGACACCGACTTCTGAACTTGCTGGAGTCACATTTGCAGGCAGAATGAACAAGATTCTGGCCCATGGCTTCCCCCTTGATCTGTTTTACAGTTTCAGCAACTGTTTTCAATAGGGATCATTCAGTGCCCACAGCAACCCCAGGAACATCAGAACCCACCTTCTAATGGGTGAGATCCCTGGAATTCTCTGGTGGTCTCTGATTCGAATCCTAACCAGGTCCCTATATCAGCAGAACCTCCAGTCTCAGAGACTGTATATCTGTAAATACCAGAGGATGAAGGCAATCAACAAGGGAGCTTCTCAAATAAAGGAAAAGAAATGAAACTAAATGAACGCAGAGCTTAGAAGGAGCTTGGCCCACCTTGATTTCATCTAATAGATGGAGTTCTTATATACAAACCTAAACATACTGTGACAAACCCAGACCTACTGGGATATGTCACACAGTTACACTAAGCTGCCACCAACCATTCCCTTTAAAAAGTCACACAGACCAGGGATGGATTTTCAAACAATAAAAAGAATAAGGTTTATTTAAATACACACAGGGAAAAATAAACAATCAGGTGAATCAGATAAAGTAACGTGGCTTAGTTTCACTCATACATACCCACAGTGTGGTTCACACAGAACCTTAACTTAAAGCACAGACCCTGAACCTATCAGTTCTGGCTAACCAACAGACACCTGAACCTATCAGGTTGGTACTCTGACACACAGTAGTACCCTGTCTGACACACAGACTCCCACAACAGCTTCTTCTTCCCAGCTGCTGCTTCGTCACAACCCAGTGTCTCTCAGCATCTCCCTACATCTAATCTTCACCACACAGGCATCACCTATTTATACAGTACAGCCCCTCCTCCTGATGTCCCGCCTTCCACTCCCCATAGGATGGAACTTTCCCTCCAAACCCATGACAGACAGGTAACATCAGTGCTGTATGTAACACATACTTATTCAGAAATCTTGTTCATGCATTTAATTTTTGGTTTTATTTTTGATCTGTGCAGAGACAATTTTTGAAACTGTGATACCCAGAACCTCCAAGACCGCCTGCACAACCGTATTGACACCCCATACCGGGTGAGTGGGGAAAAAAAAGATTAAAACTTTTCTCATCTCTCGTTACATGCCTCTAAAACAGTGTGTTACCTACACTTCAAATAAAAATCACTTAGGAACGGAACAATATAATGGATGAAACTGCAATTTTTAAAAATCCAGCTTATAAATACAATTCCAGTCCAAATGGCTGGAAACGAAAGCCACCAAGGCGTCGTGGCATTACAAACCATCACTGCAGTCAAAGGAACACAAGCAAAAAGGGGCTTAAAAGCCCAGGAAAAAGCAAAGCACCGCTTAGCAAAAGTCCTAGCGAGACAGCAGGAAAAGAGGAAGACCAAGTACAAGATGGATTAACCCACGGAAGGAAGCCACAGGATTGAGTTTTCAAGAGCTGTGGAAGGCAGGAAATTTTGAAGATTGCTCATTCATTGGGTCAGCCTAAGTCGGAGGGGGCTTGACAGCAAAGAGCGGCACCGGCGAAGTATCGGAGAGGAAACTTCAAGAGACGGGTCCACCCACACTGAAAAAGCTTTCTGTCTCGTGCCTAGGAACCCCCAGGATTTCGGATTCGCCCTCTGAAGCCCAGCAGGCATTTCTAGAACACAAGCAGAACTTGGCAAAGTCCATCTTCCCCCAATTTAAACTTCCCAAGCTTTGGACACCGGATAATATTTGGGGAGCGAAGGAGCCTTGGCACCTGAGCAAATTAAAAGGGTTTGCTTTTACACTGTTGACGCGCTCCCCCTGCTGCGGGATGTATGGTAGAAATTTTGTATGCTTTACCTGCCGGGACAGGCATCAGGATTCCTGGCTGGAAATATGAACCTCCTGCCTTGATTTGTTTTTTAAAAAAAAATTCTAAATGACGGGCTTCCTTTCTTGGGGTCTCCCTCCTCCGTCCCAGCCTCTCACCATGTGAGCCTCCCATGCCGTGAGGCGCCTCCAAATATACCGTCGTTTGCTTCATCTAACTGTAGGTGAAGTCAACAAATCTTCGTAGTTTCCAACAGCATCTATGTCCTCAAGAATCATGCCGAGAGCCATTCAGAAAGGGCTCACGGTTTCTCAGGACCAGCGCATGAAAAACAACTTGCTTGAGACCACAGAAAAAAGTCCCACCTTTAAGGACTAATCCTGCTACTAATGATAATGCCCATGTTCCATCAAGTCATTTCTGGTTTACGGGCGAACCTTTTCCAAGGTTTTCCAGGTCGAAAAGGCTCAGAAGTGTTTTACCCTTCCCTTCCCCAAAGCTACCCAGGCTGGCTCTTCTCCCAGAAGGGGAATCGAACTCCCAACCTCTGGCTCCATAATCAGATTTCCTAACCCACTGAGTTATCCAGGACGTTTAAGCTAGAAATTAGCCAACCAACGTAGATTGCTCCTGAGCCAACCTGCCAAAAAAGGAACTCACCAAACTAGCTTGCAGAGGGACCCATCTGTCCACGTTGGGGGGCCAGGGGGGGAGGTCCATGAGACCCAATGGTCAGATCCTCAGAAACAAAGGATGATGTCACCCTCATGGCTATTTCAATGGGCTGGGCTATTTAAAAAGGCTGGCCCATCAAGAGCCTGAAGGCACCATTCCTGCATAGGTAGGTGTGAGTCATCTCCAGAGAAGAAAACTTCAGAGCTTGAATAATTGCACATATTTGAGTATAGAAAGAGGATCACAGGTATCTCCATTGTTTAGAGACATTCCTAAAACAGCAGGATGGAAAGGGTGTTTTTCTCAGGCATTCTACCCCAGGGTGGCCCACATGGGAAAGCTGATTCTCTCCCACCCCAGAAAAAAATGAGTTTGTTATCACGGCCTCTTAATTTCTGCAAATGTTATTGGGCTAAATTCAAGTTTCTGGAGGATTCCAGCAATATATGTGGGATCTCTTAGTCAACCCTGACATTAAATCCCATGATTTTGCATGGATCTATAGATCTGGGAGGGCTTTTTTTAAAAAAAATAGATTGTTGTGGCATATTGCTTTTCAATGAATTTTTAGGATTTTAACTGTTTTTAAAATAATACTGAATTCTTTTAAAATATTTGCATGTTTTTTAAAAAATTATTGTCTTAATGAGCATTAAAGCCCCCTTTGGATCCTTTTTAGGGAAAAAGGCAGAGTGGAAATATTTCAAATAAAGAAATAAATTTACCCTACTGGGGATGAAAACTGGATCTAGCCCATTACACCTCCCCCTCCCGGCCCTTATTTCTGCTTCCATATTGCATGGGGGTATTATCCCATTGTTCTGATGTACCAGTTACTATGTTCTTTTGTAACTAGTTCTTTAACCTGTTTGCAAGGGATCTTTCATTTTTTTGCCACATTGTGAGATAAATTGTTTTTTAAAATATAAAAATCAGAGTTCAGATGAGTTATTTTGCATAAGTAACTTTTTAAATCCCCAAAAAGTGCATGGCCGGCAGCTGGTGAGGGATCCTGAGATTTGTACTAGTCTCCTTGCAAGCTTCATTAAAATATATACATCAATACTTAGAAAAATATATAAAATAAAAAAAATCAATACATAAAAAGAATAGTTGTTTTTTTAAATGTCCAGCCTTTCTATTCTTCTGAGCTGGGATGATTCATCACTGAATGCAGTAGGGTGCTTTTTTCAACAAACACACATGCAGTGAGGGATCCTGAGATTTGTACTAGTCTCCTTGCAAGCTTCATTAAAATATATACATCAATACTTAGAAAAATATATAAAATAAAAAAAATCAATACATAAAAAGAATAGTTGTTTTTTTAAATGTCCAGCCTTTCTATTCTTCTGAGCTGGGATGATTCATCACTGAATGCAGTACGGTGCTTTTCTCAACAAAAATGCATGCAGTTCCTCAACACACACACACCCCAACACCTTCCAATTCAATAGTTCTTTGATTCTAGAGTAAGCCACCGCACGCACGCACGCACACACACACACCTTCCAATCCAATAGTTCTTTGATTCTAGCGTAAGCCGTGCCAACCAATCTTGGAAACAGACCAAGAGATTTTGCAGCCTGAGGCAGGGGGCGAGAGAGTGCCCCCTCTCTCAGCCACTCTACCTAAAGGAGGAAACCAGGCACGTAGTGGAATCTTCCTTCAATGATGCTGATGAGACTGTGCCTTCTGCTCATCCCAATGGGCAGTAGGCTGGTTTAGAAGGTGCCAGGATAACACCTGTGGGGCACACACAGGGTTCTTCAACAGCCAGGGGACTCTGAAGCAGAAGAGGCTCCTGACTTCAAGATCAAGCGGGTGATGAATCCACTTTGAGTTTGGGTTTGAACGTTATAGGAACTCTCCATGGTCCTGAATCCTAGCTCCAACCCATCTTCAGCACCTCGGAGAGCTCTTTTAAAGGCAGTGGTGGATTCACCACTGTGTTAGCATTGGGACCACTGCCGGGGTGGGAGGAGGAGACCAATGCTATCGCCCCAAGCATTAGGCACGCGAAACGGATGCCTCCCTTTGCCCAATATGAGGGCCGACCCCAGCTGATCCTTAACACAGTCTGCCGGTCACTTACCATGACGGAATCATTCATGTTTCTCATCTGGAAGACGTCCATGGTGACTTCCCTGCGGCTGGAGGCTTCGCTGCACGTTGGGTGCCCCGATTGGGGGAGATCAAAGTAAGTGCTGTCAGGTTCTCTGTTATCAAGAAGACCGTGAAAAATTAGCAGACCGAGCAGCCTTGAAGTCCAGCCTATCCTTTGGCCATTTCAGCCTGAGCTTTGTGGGATTCTGTGATCTCCCAGATCCTCTGTCTCCAGAAACAGAAGAGCCTAGATCAATGGTTCCAAACCTTGGTTCCCCAGACATTCTTGGACTACAACTCCCAGAAGTCTTCATCTCTAGCTGAACCAGCCTGGATTTCTGGGAGTTGTAGTCCAAGAACATCTGGGGACCCCAAGATTGGGAACCACTGCTCTAGTGTGAGCTACCTAGGTAAGGTTAGATAGCCAATAGACCACCAAATCAACCAGGTCCCAATTTGCCCTCTATAAATCAATAAACCAAGAGGACTTCTTAGTTACCACCATGCGTGTTGAATGGATTTCAGTCACTCTATACCACTTGCGACAAAAATTGAGTTTAGCCCAAAGTCTCCTTGCTGCAGTGGGGAATTCTGGGAAATATAGTCCTTTACCCCAAGTAACATTTCCAAGTACTATGCCATTTGAGCATGCTGCTCCGTCCTCCTTGGGGTGTAAAGGAGGATTCAACACGGTGTGTGCAAAACCACAGTTCGCATGGACCTCTTGAGGCCAAGTATGAGGGTTGGGAATTCTAGGTGTTACAGTCACCCCCAAAAAATCACTATCCCCCCCAGTCTTTGGGTGGGAGACTATCTATCCCTTGCTCAAACTCCACGTGTATAGTTGCCGTACAGACGCACTTACAAGGTACTCCAGAGATGTTCGAATGTGGTGCCTTCATCTGCTGGAGACGACCGGGCCATCTTTGCAGCTGGAGAACTGGAGGAAGGATAAATGGCCCTAAAAGGGGGAGGGCAGAAGAGAGAGAGAAAAATCAGCACGAGTCAGATCTGGTAGAGCCTTGAGTGCGAAATACGTCTGCTTCCCTGTTTCTAACATTCAGAGGGTCCATTCTCTGTGTGAGCGTGCTGTCAAGCCAAAGCCAACTTATAGTGGCCCTAATTGGGTCCCTTTCAAAGTAAACAAGCTATTTAAGCAGTGGCTTCACCTCTTCTGCTCACCCAGTGAGTTTCTGTGGCTGAGGAGGGATTCGAACTCTGGCCTCTAGAGTCCAAGCCCATCACTCTTATCAGTGGCTCCCAACCTTGGACCTCCCAGATGGACTAAAACTCCCAGAAAGCATCATCACTAGCTGGGATGGCCAGGATTTCTGGGAGTTGTAGTCCAAGAACATCTGGGGACCCGAGGTTGGGAACCACTGCTCCATCTTGGACTACAACTCCCAGAAGCCTTCACCTCTAGCTGTGTGAGTGTGCCATCCCATAAGTACCCCTAAACACTCCTAGAAATGTGCTGATTTTTGGCTAGGGTGCAGTGATGATGATGATGATGATGATGATGATGATGATGATGATGATCTTCGAACTGCAAGGCTGGAAGGGACCCCATGGATCCTCCAGGAGGCACCTCTGGGGGGGATTCGAACCCCCAACCTCTGGCTCCACAACCAGGGACCTTAAACCACTGAACTATCCAGCAGTTCCAATAACTTGATTTTTGCCCCACCTTTCTCTCCCTTCTGATGGATGTAAAATGTACCTGCTCCTGTTTATCCAGAAAAGATCTTGTGATGGTATAAAAAGAATCATCATCACGCAGCAGAGTGGCATTGCAAGAGGCATTAAAAATGCTTAGGACCACGGCCAAAGTGGAACACTTCACAAGTCCTGCTCACTTCCCTCCAAGTATTCATGGGGCTTGAATCTCACCCATTGAAAACAATGGCAACACAATTTTTTAAAAAAACAGCACAGAGCATTTTGCTGCCTAGCTCAGACAGCAAAGGATTCTGACCTACATCAAGGAACCGGATTTAGACTTCGCCAAAGTAGATCAGAATCATTACAAATCAAAAATACAGAGAGAAGCAGCTGGGAGAAAATTTATACACATGAAAGACACCCATGCCAGTGGACTGAATACAAGCCCAGGTTTCTCATGTCATTACCAAATGCAATACTTCTGCTGTTATCTACTGCCGCTGCTATTTTTTTTTCCACACCTCCCAGGCCCCATCTTTCAACACAAGGCTCAAGGGTTAAAAACTGCTAGTATTCCCCACATTAACACAAGCCATTCCTTCACTCTCTCCTTTTACTTTTATATATATATCCCCACCCCTTCTTCTCCCTCCTTTTTGCTCATGCCTGTCGTCTGTTTTCTGTCTCCTGGAAGAATGCTTACAACCTAACATAGGCCATAGATCAATGCATGTGAAATATAACCACACACCCAAGACTCTTAGAGCCAATGAATATTTAGTTCATTTCACTTGTAAAATTGGAGTTTCGTCCGGTATAGCATTCGCTAGAGAAATATATTTCCATGGCGTCATTACTAGAACTGGCCATCAGAGAGAGCCAAAGACTATTTATGGTGTTCTCTGTTAAAAAAGCGTTTGCTATAATCCATTTTTTAAAAAAATGCATCCTTGGATGTAGGCTTGGAACCAGTATCTGTGGATATGGGGAACATAATGTATTTCCTTTCCAGCCCAAATCAGGACTTGGACTCTGATAGAGTAGCCACCATCAAACAATTTTGTAAGCTTTTGTGATGCTTTTGAATTGTGGTGCTGGAGGAGACTCTTGAGAGTCCCCTGGACTGCAAAGAGAACAGACCTATCCATCTTGAAGGAAATCAACCCTGAGTGCTCACTGGAAGGATAGATCCTGAAGCGGAGGCTCCAATACTTTGGCCATCTCATGAGAAGAGAAGACTCCCTAGAAAAGACCCTGATGCTGGGAAAGTGTGAAGGCAAGAGGAGAAGGGGACGACAGAGGACGAGATGGTTGGACAGTGTCCTTGAAGAGACCAACATGAATTTGATCCAACTCCGGGAGGCAGTGAGAGACAGGAGGGCCTGGCGTGCTCTGGTCCATGGGGTCACGAAGAGTAGGACACAACTTCACAACTAAACAACAACAACAACAAACTTCGTAAGGCATCCATATTCACCCGTGGTGCTTCAACTCCAAAAGGTAGATTTGGGGGGGGAAAGAATTCCTGGAACCCTTCCACCAGTGTTGACTGCTGCAGTGTTTTGGAAACTTTAATCCAGAGTCATAATTTTTTCCAAGGACTGGCGGTGACCCACATTCGGCAACAGCCCGCAAACAACAATTTTATAACCCTTATTGCCTGAATCTGGCCCAAGTTAAGCCAACAATGGGCTGTTTGTTTGTTTGTTTTTAAAAGATGCCACTGATTTGGGTGAGAGATTTAAAGCTGTCAGCCAACTCACACATAAGGAGATCCACGCTGTACCACATGGATCAGCTTCCTTTTAAATCAAGGGCCCTTGGCCCACTATGTAGTTTTTAAAATCCTGACCGTTCAAATGAGCAACATTGAAGCAGTGCCAAAATCTGATCATTGGTGACCAGATGCCTGGAAACCTTCTGCCCTGTGTCTTTTGTATGTGCCGGCTAGAGCATTCTGGGCTTTGTTGTCCCAAAAGCGAGGAGTGGGCGTCATAACTGAAGCCAGTGCGTCAAGCAAGCGCAATGAACTCTGTCCTTCCATTTCGCCGAGAGATCTGTTTGCTGCTCACTCTGCTTCCGGCTGGGATCTGTTCTCGATCCTGCCAGAGTGCAGGAGACGTCATCATGGGCTCAAGTGACAGGAAGCCAGATTTCGACTGAATATTAGGAAAAACTTCTCAACTGTTTGAGCAGTACGATGATGGAACCTTGGCAAGTGGTGAGTGTTCCAGCACTGAAGGCCTTTAAGAGAAAACTGGGCCACCTTCCGCTTTGAGTTGGATTCCTGCCTTGACCGGGGGTTGGGCTTGATGGCCTTAGAGGCCCCTTCCTACTCTGTGATTCTATGATTCAGCAATGCCACCTTAGAGAATGTGCACCAATACGTCATGCCAGTGAATCAGCGTAGAAGGCGGACATTGCTTTCCCTCTGCTTCCAGTGTTCAGCCCCTTAAACGGAACAATGGATAAAGCCATCCTAGGTCGCAATCCGCTTCTCCTAAGCTAGACCTTCTCGTCAAAAAGCCCCGGTGAGCTGGTGAGAGGAGAGGGAGAAAATATAACTTACCCGATGGTACCCCCCCTGGGGGTTGGGGGGTCCCCCCTCCCTCTGAGCGAGGCTTTAAAAGATTGAGATTTTTTTACCGAGCGGATCGTCAACTCAGTAGCGTCCCGGTCTCCAAGGTGATGACATTGGAGCTGTTGAAAGCTATGCAGAGGAGGGGAAAAAATAAACCCTGCACACTCCTTCCTGAAACACCGAGTGTAGCAGGCAGGGTTCCCGCGTTCCACCAACAGTGTCGGCCTTGAAGAGCGAATTAATCCTGTAATGAAGCCGGTCTCCCGGGTTCAAAGCTGGCTGACCTGCAGCCTCTCATGGGGAACATTCTTTGCCTGCCAATTTCTCCTGCTCAAGTCTCCTTGGGAGGCTTTTAACTTCCTAAGAAGGCAGGTTTCTCTGGGAAAGAACGCCATGCCGGGAAAGGGGGAAAGGCAGCAGGAAAAGAGGAAGACCCCAAGATGAGAGGGAATGATTCCTGAAAGGAAGCCACAGGGCTTGACATTTGCAAGAACTGAGCTGAGCAGTGGAAGGAAGCCCATTTTGGAGAGGGATTTTCCGTAGGGTTGCCGTAAGTCAAGATGACTTGATGGCCCTTAACAACAACACAAAAACAGAGAGAGAGGCAATGGTGAGAGGGCTCCACAACTTGTGCCCTCGCTTGTGTGAAGAAACTATTTTATTTATATATTTATTACCTGTCTAGATTCCCTTTTTCAAACGGGAGTTTTTAAATTTTAAAGTTCTGCTTTCTTAACGCCGGCTAGCCTCCTGTTGGGAATTTATGCGTGCGTAACTGGAATCGCCAAAAAAAGTCCAGCAGGGAACTGCCACGAATTTAAAAAACACACGAGTCATGCGCCTGTCGCACAACCAAGTGAACAACTAGAAAAGCAAGCAGGAGAATGAATTACAATCTGTGACTGCGATTTACACAACATTTGCACACATGCACCCCTAAACTGATAACAGGGTTTTGGCCACTGTGGACCACAGATAGGAAGATGGGATCTCCCTGCCCCTTCTGACACCCTGATTTTTAAAATCATTATTGTAATAAGGCCATTATAGGCAAACTTGCCACATTGTCGTGACATTTTTAAGAATTAATCCAGTTTCTTATCCATCCTAAGTTGTGCGGTGGATTTAGGTGCGATGTTCTGTGTTTTCAGAAAGTTCTCTGCTGCTTGGACCACGCTGATGGCGGAGAGCTGTTTGGTCACTGAGTTCATTGAAATCAATGAATATTTTCCTCAAATATCTTCTGAAGCAGTGGATCTTCTGTGGGGAGGCAGGGGTCACGCATGAAAGCAGCTTCGGATACACGACAATATTTCCCCTTTTTAAAATCCAATTAGTTGGCTTGTTGACCCACAAAAGCAGCTTTTTCCTGGAAAGTGGAAGGAAGGTGGGTCACTGTTGTTCTTGATTTTCTCTCATTACCATCCACAATTAGCTAAAACGCTGGCCATGATCGAAAATTAAGAATCAAGCCACAAGTTGGGACATGCTTTGTGTAGAAAACAAACGGAACAGGAAAGATGATTGAAGATGCTGATAATTACAAGAGGGTCTTGTTGACATTTCTGGGCGTCAGGGAAGGATGGGTGGGGCGGGGAAATTGAAGGTTAATTATCTGATGGTGTGCCTTGCATGCAATTAAGCAGCCGTACGGATGGTCTCCTCTTTGAATGTATTTTTCCAACACCTCAACTGTCTTTGAAGGTTTTCTGTGGTATCGGTGCTGCAACAGCTTTTCTGAAAACCGAACGCCTTGCCTTAAGATTTCAGAGACAAAAGGGAAAGAACGGTCCATTGTAGATTAGCCTGCAGACGTTTTGCATCAGCTAATTGCAAAAACCACCACCTTAGATCTGCAGAGCTGGAAGGGACCCTGAGGATCATCCGGTCCAGCCCCTGGGGGGGGGAGATTCGAACCCCCAACCTCTGACTCTACCTTAAAAGCTATCCAGCAGTTCTTAGCCTCCTTATTGCCAGGATGCTCACATAACCAATACTTCATAAGCTCGTTCTTCATTCACTTTGGTTGGGTCCCCCCCCCCAAAATTATCACACACACAGGTTATCAAGCTATGACCCAACCGTTCTACTCGATATGACTAAGAAAGTGGAACAAAATCCAGAAAAGTTAATTCTGAATTAAATATGAGTTTCAAAGGTATCACGAGATATCTTTGTTTTTTTAAAATACATATTGCTCCAAATCCTGTACCTTAAATAGCATTTCAGTAAGGTCCTTGAATCAGTATTTTGGCAAGTCACCTCTTTCATAAACTCCATAGTCCAGCTATGAAATGACCCCCTTTCATAGTCATTTATAGAGGCCCTCTCTGGTTCCTTACAGACCTCTTGATACGAGCTATAAACTGGTAACCGAAGCTGTGCTCAGTGCAAAGACTTCCTCTAGCCACGTGCAGAGTGCTTTCCTTCGAAACACGCACTTTGAATTCAGAGTCAGAGCCTGCAAGCTCCAATCTTCCAGGAGAACCCTCCCCTTCCAGAAATTTAAAAAAAAGGCCGCCTCTGTTATGAAATCTGCAGTCCAGATTTTAACAACCGCAGGTGTGCAGAATGCTGCAGGTTTAATCCGGCATTTCCAGGACACCAGTTTTGCAGAGGCTGTGTTGGGAACAGACAGGTATTTCAGGTGAGTGTAACAGTGACGGTAACTCTGTACCTGCCCTGGCCAATTAGTCGGGAACATCCCTCTTTCTCCTCGGTCCCCCCCATGAGATCGATTCTTTGGGGGCCTTTTTAACTGCAATAAACAGACGGCAAGCAATTAAAAGCCCACACAACTGGTAAAGGCAGAAAGGTGAATTGATTCTCCAGCTGCTTCCTGGCGCTGAGCACCTTAGAAGCAGGGTTGGAAAGGAAAAAAACCCGATTTAGGCATTTTTATTTGTGTTATTCCTCAAAATGCGTGGGGCCCACAAACCTTAACTCCACAGTGACACAGACATGAATAAAGCCCAATATAAAGAGGTAAAAACACCCTGCAATAAAGTCATAATTCAGTGAAATCTGATTGGAGGTGCAAAATTTCCAAAAATGTCCATTTTTCCAGGGAAAACTTGCCTTAAGTTCTGTTGCCTGGAGAGAGAGAAATGGAAATTTCCATTTCTCAGTTGATCCAGTCTAGACAACTTTGCATGCATATATACATGGATCACAGATAAGAAGACGGGGTCTCCCTGCCCCTTCTGACACCTTGATGTTTAAATTCATTATTGTAATAATGCCATTATAGGGTTAAGACAGACGTATATATTTGGGGGGAGACATTCCCCCCTGTTTTTTTCTGGGGGGGAAAAGGAAATTTTTGGAAATTTTACATCCCTAAGTCTGATATAAACACTCTTTAAAGGAAAGGGTGGAGAAAATTCTGGGGGTGGGGTGTTTAAGGTTAAAAATGTGTGTCCAAAATATCCATGCTTTATCTTAAAAGAGGCTTTTCTTGATATCTGTTTTGCCATGTGAAAACCCTTTGCCAAAACTGAGACACAACTGGATGTTGCAACCACAACGATCGATCCAGGCTAACATCTGATAGAACAGAACCTTTTTAAAAGGGGCCACCACAGAGAAGGCCCTGCTGAATGACGATCGATCCAGGCTAACATCTGATAGAACGGAACCTCTTGAAAGGGGCCACCAGAGAAGGCCCTGCTGAATGGTGTTACATAGTCAACATCTGGCAGCACCTGCTACCTTGGTGCTTATTCCTTTCCTTCTCTCTAAATGGGGGGCTGGAAAATACTGAGACTGAATGACTTGGGTCCCCGTCGGCAGTCCAGACCCCTAATATCTTTTCAGATCAGCCCCACCTGGCTATCTCAGGTACAGGAGACTCACTGAATCAATGCCAAATCAAGAGTGAATGGGGGGGCCTTGAGTAGGGTGACCGGCTATAATATTTATTATCCCTAAAGCAGAGTTAGATGATGACTGATGCAGCTAATACCTTCATTACCAATGTAACTAATACTTTAGTTACTAATGCAAAAACTACCTTTGTTACAAATAGACTACAATATAACACAACTCATACCTTTGTTAGAAATGTAACTACTCCTTTTGTTTTTACTAATATAACTAATGCATGTGTTAAAAACATAACCAATGCTTTGATAATGTAATTAATACATTGGCTTTCCCCGAGTTCTTGTGCTTGCTGTCGCTGCCATCATCCTCAACATCATCTGTGTTAAAAACATAACCAATGCTTTGATACGAATGTAATTAATACACTGGCTTTCCCCGAGTTCTTGTGGTTGCTGTCACTGCCATCATCCTCAACATCATCCTCATGCACCGCAGGCTAGAAAGGGGAGTCTGCGTCATCTGTCTTAACCCGTTCTTAGCCCTTTGCTCAGATGTTCAAGGAGGACTGGAGGTAAGCCTGCCTTGTTTGTTTATCTGTTTATTTGTCTGTCTCGCCTTTCCTCTTAAGGAGAACCCAAGGCGGCTAATCCCCCCGGGATGTTCAAGGACCTTATTAATTTCGGCGCTCGAGGCCCGGAGCCTGGGAGACATGACCGTGGGGAGAATTCTCCCTTCCCGGCCCCAGGCCAGAACAGATGCAAAGGAAACAGTGTGCCCTCCGATGGATCTTGTTTTCCCCACGCTCACCGGGGAGCTCCTGCTTTAGATTAGTTCTGTTACAATTTGTACCTGCCGGAGTGCAGAATCCCCTCGTCGGTTACACTAACCTCTATGGCAACCGCCATAGAAACACACGGTGGCACTGCGCCGGCCGGGTGACCCCACGCTCATGCAGACAAGGCTCCTCCCAGGCCACCGGTGGGTGGCAACCTGGCACGTTCTTAAATGGGGCAGAAATCCAAGTTTTAGGGCCTATTTTTCTGTCTATTTGGACCTTTCGGCTTCCACGGCCTTTAAGCAGGACTTTAAGCTTCTTAACTGTGGGCAGGATGGTTTCCAGGGAGAGACCGGGGCTATAGCCCCGCTGCCAGCATCCCCAGAAAGCTGCGTTTGGAAGAACAACAGCCCAGGGCTGTGTTGACCAATGGTCAGAGTCGGCCTAAAGCCGCAGCCTGTATT